GGGTGTATACGCATGTCCGAGACCTCCGAGAATCGCGGTCGTGATCCGTAGTTATAATATTCTATGAAAATATATATGAAATGTTTTGCTAAAACTAGTCTTACGAATGCAAACCAGTCGTTTTTCGCAATTTTTTCTATAAAAAATGAGAAAAAATATAAACGTGTAACTCAAAACGAAAACGTTTAGAAAAAAAATAAAATATTCAAGGCAGGTTCTGGGGAAGACTATTATAAATACCGATGCAGAAGCCTGGGACGATATCAGTGATCCGCTGCAGTCGTCACAGATACACGAACGAACTAAACTTTGTCAAAACTCATCGAAAAACTTTCATTCGACACTCGTCATCATGTACAAGTTAATGGTGAGTACCAAAATCTAAATAATACACCGCTATAAGTACCGTGAAGTAAATTTGGTACGGCGTAGAAATATTTATAGCAAATATATAGATGCAAATATTATATATAGTCACTACTCGAATGACGTATACCACCCGTAATAGCATGTATCGTTGTCGGCTGCGTTAAGTGCATCCACATTTATAAATATGTATGGATATATATATGTAACTCTATGCATGTATAAATTATTTATTATATTATATATGTGTGCCTGCACTGCACAACTCAGCAGAGTATACATGCAAAATTTCTCCGTTTCGTGAAGTGGCCATACACGACTAACCCGCATCGTGTATCCACAGCGAGTGTCTCGTCATTTTGTTGTGCATCAATTAATCCATATTTTATTATAATATTAGGATTTACGTTTATTTCAGTTGTTGCTTGTCGCTGCCATGGCTTTGATCGCCACCATCTCGGCCCAACAAATCATCACGTACCCCATAAATCATGTCGTCACTTACCCGTCCGTCTATACCTACCCGGCCTACCACTACCCATTGACCTACCAACCGGTCTACAGCCTACTGCGCCGTTGAACACATCACCCGCTACCGATTTTTATTCGCCATCGAAATGCAATCAAACGATCCATACAGTGTTATTAACTCTTTTACATATTATACTTAATTTTCAAAGACTAGAATCTACTGCAGTCGTACGGCAAACAATTCGTCTCCTAAAGAACTACGTGATTTTCTGCTCAAGTGGAAACTTACTCTCTTTCGCTTCTATACACACCCGCTATTATTTAACCATTGTTATTATTTATTGCAAAATATAATATTTATGTTTAATACAACACTACTCATTTGTGACTTATTTATTCCTACACGGTGTATTTTTAAATTCATATTTTAATATACAAACCTATTAAATATAAATATATTATATGCAAGCTCAGTGACGCTAAATCTAGTATTTAAGTAAGACCAATGTCGTAATAACCGAGTATGCATTGCATGCAGATTCCGAGCCTCGTACCAAATTATGAAGTTTTTTAAGGTCAAATACTAGTATTCTAAAATGTACTATGATAAGGGGCCTCAAAATTTTGATTTGCACACGGGCCTCGAGTAGTTCAGTTACGGCACTGGGTAAGATATATATCTAATTAACTTACTTTATAGTATTTTACTTGTGGGTAGGTGGTCCAGTCTTCAACTGTCAGGTCAGTGAGTTATAACATATGATGAATAATAAATAAACGTAGTTAATAATTAACTAATTAGTAAATACTATCCAGTAGATTAATTGTGTCTTGTTTATTAATAGTTATATTATTTACTAATCGTGTTTGCGTGCTTAACTTTGTCGTATAACCAGGTGGAATGTGAGCTCTCATTGACGCATCCATGGAAAAAAGTGTAAGTCTTGCGCCATTGTGGGAATTCCAGTCACGTCGTATGGCTAATCAAAATGGCTGAGTGGACAACTGCTCCAGCATATGTATACATTCAGTATAAAACTTGGGTGTGCTAAAATTATTCACCCCAAGGTAATCCTTGGGGAGCAATATCCCCCACAAATCCCCTACAACTATTTGGCACAAAATATTTTAGTTTTACCATTTAATTATAAATGTAGTAATTTTATACATTATAACTAAATATTATTAATACACATCATTATTATTTTTTATATAAATAAGCGATCAAACTTGTAGACGGTAAACAAAACCAAAATCCTAATTAGTATTTTAGCAATAAATTTGACCATCACAGTATCAAATACATAGATAACGTAAGCACAAATACCCAATACTCTTACTGAATACTTACATGTATAACGTGTGTATGTACATTGTATATTCGTGGCATTAGTGCAGTGATTCTTTTTTCGTTTATGTCACCTTTAGCCAGTGGCGTAGCCAAGGGGGGCTAAGGGGGCTATAGCCTCCCCCATGGGCCGTGTTTATATGTATAATGTATCTTGAATATTTAATAGAATCAATGCTCGTTTTAATCAAAGGCATATTGATGTTATGCCACTTGAAGGACTTATTCCGGTCAATTTAAATATGTATGACGATAAAAATATTATAAAAGCTGCTAAAATATATGTCCAAGATCTCCATGATGATACCTCATCTACAATCAGAGCTGACCTGTTCATATGGAGGCAACAATGGAGTCAAAATACTATTCCAAAACCGAATTCTGCTTTTGATTCACTCTCTCATCGCACCAATCTTCGACCTAACATTAAAATACTTTTACAATTATTCTCCAGGTTACCAGTTACCTCTTTCACTTCGAAAAGAACGTTTTCAGCACTTAATCGCTTAAAAATTTTTTTAAGAAGCACCATGTTGGAAAACAGACTGAATAGGTTAACTATTGCCAGAAATTCGCCTAAGAGAATGCAGCTGTCAGAGTGGAGCAAGTGACTGAACACTGAAACCAAAATTATTATTATTATTATAAATTTTATATTAATAAATATTTTTAAAACTTTACTAAAATGCTTGAATTACGTTTAGAAACTTGGTGGTAGATGGTGGGGGGGGGTTAAGGGTGAATTCTCATATCCTCTCTTACCTTACTTATCCAAAAAAAGTGGTTAGCCCCCTCCATTTAAAAATTCTGGCTACGCCACTGCCTTTAGCCACTACAATTAAACACCGCGTCACCCTAACATCAAAATAATAAATAATCTTAATTGTGTATTTTAATTCTTGAAATAACAATAAAATAAAAAATAAAAAATAAAGTACATAGAAAAATAATAAGTACACATACAATTTATTTGAGTCGCAGGGATTAATAAACATTGTCAGTTATAAGTTTAAATTTACAAAATAAAAAAAAAAAAAAATAAATAAGAAAAAATAACAATGATTTGTATGAAAACTAATGAGAAATTAGGCTCTGGTGGTTTTTACAAAATTGAGAAAGTGTAATTAAACGTGAATAACGTCATCCATTAGGTAAATATAGGTAATATTTTCTACTGGGTCAAATATTGAAGGCCATAAATCACTGTAAACATATTTTTTTGATAAATACTTAAATTTTTATGAATTTAGCGTAAGGTACCTAAATGTTTTTAGTGCACACATATAACAAGTCGTAATTAATAAATCAGTAAATCAGCAATAAAAATATAAATCAGGTATGATTTTAAATTATGTATTAAATGAGTTGTACTGGAGGGGAGTTAACTCTTTTCAAAAATAAAATGTATATAAATACAGATTGTATACGTACATCGGTTTAAGATGAATAATAGTTATATATAAATGTAAATATTATTTTTATGTATTATTAACCCGGCGTTAGTCGAGCTATGGTCAAAATGACCGCACTTTTTTTACATGTTTAATAAAACATTTATGTTTTATATTTTAACCATTGATACTCATTATACCTTTCAATAATGTTATTAAAAATTATATTATAATATTCAAGTATATTTAATTTCGTATATATAAAATAAATTAAGATAAATGTGATATATCATTAATTGCGGTCATTTTGACCAAATCGCGACTAATGATGTTATTATTTTAATTATTACGATCAACATTGCCGATTAGGTTATTATTAGACTAACATTTCCGGACTTTATTTATATTATTATTTATTTTATTTATTCATTTAAGTTACTCATACATACATAAAATACAGTATACAAATTTAAATAAAATTCATACATTGCTTTTTTAAATTAGGTACCCATTTTATATATAAGAAAGTAACTTTCAGTTTTGATTTTTTTCTTTGTAAATAAAGTTATAAGTTATTAAAGTTGTATGAAAATTGATTTGTCTTAATAAAATTACTAAACGTGTATGAAACAACGTTTTTTATAATTATATTCCAGAAAATTATAACGCGGTCAAAAGGACCGCGGTGCGACCAACGACGTAATATACACTAGCGGGACTAACGCCGGGTTAATATTCAATAATTATTTGGAAATAATAATTGGTAATATATTGTGCTAAACTTACATTGTTTACAATTAAATAGATTAGGTTATTATAGAGCAGTTAGGTGCAAGTTATTATAATACACTTATTTCTCGTAAATATATTTATAATGTACAAAACATGTCTATAGTATTATTTTAAATGTAAAACAATAAGTCGATTGTTGTAAATTATATTTGACAATATAAGCATATAAACATTGATTGTCGATGTATTCGTTTCACGATCAAAAACAGTGGTCCGAAGTTACAAACATGTATTGTAAAATCTCGAACATTATTGCCAGAAATTTTCTAAAAATAAGGGGAGTGCAATGTAACGTCGGGCCATTACGTTGCTGGTCCACCGTGTTAACGTCGATCATGTGTTTCACGACGTGCATCCTTACCAATCAGAGTGACCATTTGAGTTACGGAAGAGTACCGGTGGAGTATGAAATGATAAATCATACAACTAATCGAACGGAAAAACAAATGTTCGCGATTGATTGCGAAATTGGTTTTAACGTTTTCTCATAGTTGTCAATGAAACAAAATAATACATATATTTTTACATTTTTGTACCACGTCTATTGTCGGTCGCAATAGATTGGCACACACAATAATTACCGTTGTTTTTTCTCGACGTTGGCCGCACTGTTTGAGACCGGTCGACCGAAAGAGACGCCGCCGCTCGTTGGACTCCCGGCGGACGACGGCGCTTTGTATCCTCCACTCTTACACAGCCCTCTCATTTAGTTTCATGTTTTCTTTGATGATATTCTTGTCGATCAATTCAAATTTCAAGTTTCGGCTTTGCTTCGAGTAACAACAATCTTCGACGGCGATGTATCCACGAAACGTGTTCGGCATTACAGCTGATATTTATCATATTTATCACACTGCTATGGATCGTGACATCAAAATGTCCATTAACGGTACGTGCAATCTAATGGTTTGAACGTTTTGAATATTGTCATTATGCAAGACATAGGTATTATGTTCGTGGTTCAGATAAGAAATTGAGCTATACTTATATTTACATTTTATAGTTGCATTTCTTGTGTCGGCAATATATTTTTTTAAATGCACATGACGTTATTGCTTCGAAAAGTGTATATTGAGACCACCGCACGAGGACATTGGTTTCATATTATTGATTTTTACATGGTAATCCACATGGTTTTCGTATTTAAAACCCTCTAATTGGCCGTCCATTCTAAAAATCAATCGTAATTATTCATAAATGTAACTGTCCATCCATTCCAGTATTAAGTATAATTGTAGTGATTTATTAAAAATTACTTAAAGACATTTTTTTCCATTTAATTATTGTCAGTATTTGCAAGGTGATACATAAACTTAATACTTAATAAGACCATGGGTAAATATTTATATTGACTGATGTTTATCCAAAAATTAAGGATGTTTCTTTATCAATATATCTAATGAAAATAATGATGATAAAATAAAAATAGGAGTATAATTTAATTATCTGTAGTTTAATATAATGCGTATTTTAATTAAGTATTTAATAAACTAATAAAACATTTTCTTTTCTTTTCTTTTCAAAATAAATTCTTAATTTTTTGATATTGTATAAGTAGTTACAAATTATAATCATCCCATGACTTTTTGTTGAATGCAATATAATTAAACAGATTTAAAATTAAATTAAAAAATATAACAAGTATAAAATATAGAATACGACTAAGATAAATTTTTAAATTACTACAATAAAGTATACACTTCTTTTTCCTTTGATACCGGATGTCATTAAATGTCAACGTCCAAAGAATCCTGCCATTTTATTGTATTGTTCATTGCTGTATCTCAGTTAAGATTTCAACAAATTTCCTTTAAGTGTAATTTTTTACTATGTATTCCATTGTTCGCTTGACTGCACCATAATCATATTTAGGGTCTATCTTGATTTGCCATTTATGTAGCAAATAGTTATACTGACCTTGGCCGCTTCTAATTATAAATTAGATTTTCTTCAATTAAAATGTATTATTCACTATGCATGTCTTAGTGATGTACCATTATAAACCATAAATATCTTATTTGTTATTTTGTAGGAATACCATTTAAAAATATACATTTATCATTTTAATGGATCAATGGTATAAATCACAATCAGTATTATCAGTATTTTTAGTTAATACTTCAATAATTTCACCAATAATATCACTTATCAGTCACACTATTTTTATTATTTTATATCCACGTTTTATTAAATATTACATGACAATGGCACATACCTATTTATTTGAGTATGCTATGAGTGTATAGTACAGATAATAAATATGATTAAAAAGTTGTTAATAAATTTAAAGTTTGGTATTATATAATAAATTCAGGGTTATAGTTGTTTATTTTTAATATAAATTGTTGATAAACAAATAAGTTATTATGTATTGAATGAGATAAATAAATTGCATAGTACAATTATTTTGATAAATGATTGAGTATTATAAGTCTAATTCTAAAATATTTGTTTTATATTAAATATATTTATTGATTGGTTAAGACATCAATTCATTTCTAAATATTAATAATTATAATATATTAAAATGTTATTATGTGAATGTTTGATAAGAAATAAACAATTTATATCTGTCATTAGTCGAAATTCTGGCATTACTGATTCATATATCAAATATTTTACTATAAATTAATACATTTATGCTGACTTTTCTTACTAATTTTTAGTATTTCAAAAGTTTATATATTACTAAGATTTATTGTATGTTATATCAATTTATAATTATGGGGGTACTTTTAAATACTATATTTGTTTGTATTGTCTTATTGGTAATCACTGAACATAAATTTAGGAGAGCAAAATATTTTTTTTTAACTATGTTAATGCTATTGCAATAATAGTTAATATATATATATATATATATATACTTATAAATAATGATGACTTCACTTAGTTCAATAAATTAATTTTTTTAAATCAAATGTGCAAATTTATAAAACTATAGGTGTAATTTCAATAATTTTATTGTGATATTAAAGTATTTTTTTACCTTTCTAGGTTAAACTGCAGAAAGGAAATATATTTTATTCAGGAAGCTTTACATTTCAATGAAGGTAACTTATATTTATTTATTTGATTGATCTGTTAAAAATTATTATTTCTATACATTTGTATATTTATTAAACTGATAAGTTTCTACATTTAATATTATAAAATATAAACATTTTGTATTGATACTAAAATATTAAGTTATGTAATTTTTATTATTTGATGTTTTAAATAATTTATTATTGACATATATTATTATTTTTTATGCAAAACTAGTTGTCCAATTTAACTACATTTTGAGTATGTTTTTTGATCAACCATATGTAATATTCTTATGTTTATACAGTAAAATAGTTTGAAATGATAATTTTTTTTATTTTTGTTAAATTTTCATGCATATGTTATCTGTTTCAATTTATTTCAATGTATTGTTTTATAAACTTGTTAAATAAATAAATGATAACCAATGATTTGTATTAAAATTAATAATTTATTGTTTAAAACAAATTCATACAAAACATTTAATTTAAAGTTTGCTATTGATTTAATATGATTATTAAATAGGTATAGATTAAATGTATTTTATTTTTAATTAAATTGAATTGGATAATATACTTCATATAATAACTATATTATAGTTGTATAGTTCAATTGTATTCAATTAAATTGGGATATGTAATTTAAATTTGATCATACAAATCGAAAGTATAATTTATTTGTAATTTAATATAAATGATCCAAAATTTCTGTCAATATATTGGTGTGAATTCTCTAAGACTGCAATAGGCATTTCTATTAAACAATTCAAATATTTTAATTATCTTTGAATACATATTAAAGTTGGATATGATAAATCGGTGATCGTAAATTGCAATGTATTGCAATTAAATGTAAACTTGCTGATTGTATTGTTTTATCATGAAATATATGGGTTTTTTAAATTATAAATATTTATTAAGAGTATTTGTAGAGTGACTACTGCTTTGAATGTTTTGTAATACTTGATTTAGTTTTATTAGCTCATTTTCTATTATTTCAATTAATTTTATTCATAATTATTAATTTTTTTTTTTTTTTTACAGCCTTGAAAACAAAAAATTTGCAATTTTGTTATAAAAGTATGTGAATGATGAAATAAAATGGCTGCCAAGAACGGGGTAAATAAAATGTTTTTCATTTTTATGGATTTTAGGTTTTTATTCTAACTCTAAAATGGAAATGAAATTTTATTTTTCAATTTATAATTATTTATAAATAATTGATTACATAATTTTAAAATAAAAAAATGTACATAATATTAAATGTGATCAATATTAATATTTTTTGTAACTTTAATATTATAGTTCAACAATTATGATTGAATAATAATCGATATATTTTAGAATATATTTTATATTCTAAACTAAGTTTGATAGTTTATAAGATGAAAAACATCAGCTTTTTAAAATAAATTTGTGGATAATTTTTTATATGGGAGAAATTAAAATTAGCAATTAAGACAATATGATTAAATGTATTTTCATAGCCATTAACTAGTAGTGCTGTATTAGTAAATATAATCGTTAAATGAATTATTATGAAGTTAATGGTAATTATTAAAATTGGTACTTATAAATTCCTTTAGAAGTTTGAAATCTGAAAAATATTTTATATAACTTAAAGGGTGTGGATTTTTATGTAATAAAAAAGTTAAAATATGTACATTTTAATGTTCTTTATTTTTTCTAAAATATGTATTAAGAAACGTGAAATATTTAAGAAAATGATTGGTATTTTACATTAACTTTTAATTAATGAATAATAATTATTCATCTAATCATTTTAATTGTTATCTTCTTCTAAACAATTAGATTCAATATACATTTGAAGATTTTCATATTTTAATGTACGGTAGTTAGGTTTCAAAATTGACTCCTACCAACTGAAGGTGTATTCAACGTTGACCGAGGTTAATGGGGCAGATTTTATACAACATATGTCTGATGGTGTTACATCACTATCATTTGACGTATTTTCATTTTTATTCATAAGAATATCTCTAATAGTTTTAATTTTTTGTAAACGAACATTATTAGCAAGTACATATTTAATTAATTTTTTTTATAACTCTGGATTCTCCATGAACTTTATTTACTTTGATTTCTGCATTTTTTACTACAGAAAGACTTTTAATTATTGTTAGATTTAATGTTTCTAATTTTTTTATTACTTTAACCTAAAAACAAAAAAAATTTTGAAGATGTATGCTAAATGATTATTCAGGTCATTATTTTACATAATATCAGAAGCTTGTGTAATAGCGATTTCAATATCTGAATCAAGATTTTTAATAACTTCTTTAATTTAATTCCCAAATAATAATTTTAATACAAATAAAAACTGTATAGGTATGAAAATGTAAAAAATATTTATAAAATTGTAAATATTGGTGAAATATTTAAAAATATATATTCATGTGAAAAATTGTAAAATAAAAATATCTCATATTATTCAGGGTGTTATGAAACATATTTATTTTTAATCGAAATTGAGAAATTTACATTAAATATAATTATGTATTAATGTAAAAATCCAAGCCTAAATAATTAGTAATATTTTTCTGTATGATATTATAACAATGATGAAAAATAGGTAATAACATTGACTTGAACATATAATATTTATTTAATTTTATTTACTACCATTTGTTAAAAGGATGATCATTAAAAATCTAAACATAATATTTTTAAGTTACATATATTGATATTACAAGAAGTCGCAATAATTATTTTTTCTGTATAATTTGTTTTTAAATATTTTTTTGGAAATTATGAGTTTGTGGTTTATAAGTTAGAACTAAAATGATTAAAGTTAAAAAAAATATGTTTATATTTTTTTATTAATGAAGTTGTGATTGAATTATGTTCATTAACAATTTTTAAAATCTAAAGTATAGATAAATTTAATAGTATATTACCAGCTATTTTTATTACATGAACTGTAAATAAACAGTTAATTGATTCATGAATAATTTATAAATGGAATTTTTTTTTTGTGATGCCGTTATATAAATTCATTAATAATCATGATGAAATTATAAATAGATAATAGTTAATGTTAATTTTGACAATGATAACAAATTTAAAAAAAAAAGTAATATTAAATTTCTGATTTTGAATAAAAAAAAAATGTTATAAATAATTTTCATCAAATATAGGCAACTAAAGAAGCTTCTTTTAAAGTATGTTATCTATATACATATTCAATGTTTTTCAAAAGCAGACATTTTTATCTAATATTTTGTTAGTTATTTTAATTATTATTACATAGAAGATTTAAATAAACATTTCCGATTTCAGTAATTATAATAATAGAAACAAAAATTAATTCAATTTTGAGTAGGGAGTGATAGCCATGTATTATACTAAATTCTGGTTGAGACAGTAATTTTGATATTTTACTATAAAAAAATAATAGAATACTTTACTGAAATAATGCACATGATATAATTATATGAATGTCTTCTAGATAAACAATGAATAAAATAAAATAGTTTTACTTATAGAGTTCCATATTTTCAACAGATTTAAAGTTTAAATTGATTGGTTATGATGAATAAATAAATTACTTTGAGTAATAAGAAATTATTACTCTCAACCCATATTATACTGATCATTGATATATAATATTATATATTGATCTTGACAAAGAAAAATTAACTGAATTTATCACATTTAGTGAGTTAGATTATTGATATTAGAATGAACTATAAAAAAAAAATGGTTTTGACTAAATTGTATCATTAGTAGTGTTCTATTTCTGAAATTAAATGCAATATCAACAAAAAAAAAAAAATATATGCATTTTGAGTTTTACTTGTTTATATTTCACAAAATGCCTCTTTTAAACATTCTTTGTATGTGGTGATGAATTAATAAATTATTAACAGTAATTTCATTATTTTTATATACAAAAATAATTAATACAATTTTATTAAAATATAAAATTATTTTTGACAAATAATGAAAAAAAATTGACAATATTTAATTCTATTTCTGGATTAATATTATTAAAAAAAAAATAATTTTTCTTATATCATATACTAATTTTTTTTATATCCATTTAAAAAGCGTGTTATAATTGTACCTATTCCTTGAGAATAAAAAGAAATATAACTTATTTCAAATATCACCATTTTTATTATGAAACTATTATTTATATTGATTTTCAATCTTCTGTTTGATCATGTGAAAAGAACAAATGCTAAAAAAAATTCTAAGTCCTATGTATTCACAAAGTTTGTTGTTGTTACATTACTTTGATAACATGACATTAAATAAATTTCTAATTTGTGCACGGTTATACAAGTAAAGAAATTAAAATATAGAGGCAAATAACCTTGATGTAAGAGTGCAATGATCTCTGTAGTGCTAAAACCCGAAAATCAAACTAGTTTTTTTTTTTTTGTTACAAATGTTTGTGTCAAAACTATTTCATATTTGATTTTTTTTTTACCTATTTGTTCTTTTTATTCATTACATGAATAAAATAATATTAATATGAAGTACCAAATAAATAATACAGCTAAATAATACATTGTTAATAATAGTGTGTATTGTATTTTTTATAGTTTTTCATTATTTTAGTATTTTTTACCATTTTTAATTAAAAATATTTACTATTTTAAATTCGTCATTTATAATTGTATAATCGTAAATTAACTAAAGGCAAATCAGATATTAATAAAATTTATTTAAAATATGATAATTTTTCGTACAATATATATATTGTTAACCTATTAAAATATAAATATATTCCGGGTGCAATTATACAAACTATCTCAGTTAAAATGTTGGTATTATAGAAGTACTAACTTTTTTAATTAACAGAAATAAATGATAACGAAAAAAGTTAGCATAGTTAAGTTATTTGTCATATAATATATTTAAGAAATGTATTCATTTTTTTTAATTTATTATATCATTGATTTTTAGTTACATTAAACTAATTTAGTCATCTATACTATGTATATAAAAAAAGGCAGCACTTACGTTTGTAATAATTAATATATTTTTCGTAAAATTATTCTTACAAAAACTTAAACTAAATTATTTTTTAGGTTGTAACCAGACTATTTATATATATATTAATTCGATCAAATGTAGTCTTAATTCGTGTGTGGTATTATTTCATAAAGCTTTCGTGCTTTTTTACTTTGCCACGAGCAGTATTCATCAACTACCGGTTGGTTAAGACTGTTGTGTGCGTGTGTAAGCCTCAGACTAAAACCGGTTTTCCTGCATGGTAGATTTTCTTTTGGTTCGTTAACCTGTATATATGAAGAAAAAGGAAAAAAATTGCATAATAAACGAATGGCTATGACGATAGTTGATGATGATTGCAATGTAATTCGCCATTTTTATTTTTTTTCTCCGAAAATATCTTTGTACTATACTATTAAGATTGTCTTTCCCAAAGAAGGGGGGACTACTCGTATGTATATAATTTATACGTGCGCGTGTGTGAGTAATAAGGGGGGCACATCGGGTGTGGCGGGTGGGCAGCAGCGGTGGCGGCTGAAGACGTTGACGAGCGTAGTCCTCCGGACGTTCAACTTGGTTTATGTCAAGGGCACACGCTGGCTATACGAATCACTGAACTCCTTCGGATAGTTTCTTACACAATCTCAGCCACGAATGGTTGGAGTACACAAACCACATATAAGTTATGTGTATTTATTTTATTCCGTATTCAGCAATAAAGATAAATTACATACGTTGTAAAATATCTAGTTCTATGTGTACATATCTATTATTCAATAATATTTTATAATTTCGTATGTTATTGTATAATTAATTTTTAGTAGTATAGAATTTATTTTTACTACTTTATGTTTTTGTCTAGTCTGTTTTAGTTTTCAGTATTTTTAATATTTAAATTTTCAAAAAATAATTAGTAGTAACGCAGTATGATAATCAATAATTTTAAATAATAATGTTTTATTAGCTATTATCATAGCTTTTTATTAATGCATATTACTGCATTAAATAATCATTTTATAGAGATTTATAACCATTAATTATTTTTTAATTTATTCATGATTTACTTTTATTTTAATAATATTTTATTAATT